AGCGCCGCGACTTTCGTCGCAGTTTTTATTTTTTGATTACAGAGATTAAGGGATGAAACGGGGGTTGCTGTATGGAAAATTTAATTCTCTATCGAACAGCGTTGGTTTCATTCGTCAATATTAATTAGGAGGGGAGAGACGATTTTTTAATTGGCGGGCGAGTTATCCATTAAGTTTTTCATAGCGCCGTAAATTGCGTCGCAGTTTTTATTTTTTTATTACAGAGATTAAGGGATCAAACGGGGGTTGCTGGATGGGGAATTTAATTCTCCATCGAACAGCGTTGGTTTCATTCCTTAATGTTAATTAGGAGGGGAGAGACGATTTTTTAATTGGCGGGCGAGGTATCCACCAAGTTTTTCATAGCACCGTACATTGCGTCGCAGTTTTCATTTTTTTATTACAGAGATTAAGGGATCAAACGGGGGTTGCTGTATGGGGAATTTCATTCTCCAGCGAACATCATTGGTTTCATTCCTTAATGTTAATTAGGAGGGGAGAGACGATTTTTTAATTGGCGGGCGAGTTATCCATTAAGTTTTTCATAGCGCCGTAACTTGCGTCGCAGTTTTTATTTTTTGATTACAGAGATTAAGGGATGAAACGGGGGTTGCTGTATGGGGAATTTCATTCTCCAGCGAACATCATTGGTTTCATTCCTAAATGTTAATTAGGAGATAGATAGATAGAAAGTTTATTGTTTAGAAATTTAAACAAAGTAGTTACAGAGTCAGAGAATAAGTTATAGACAACACAAGTTAGCCAAGAGATAGAGTGATTTAGATTAGGAAGTCATTTCTCCCTCCAGCAGCCAGCGTCGCATGTGAGATTTGAAGGAGGCAGCCGTGTTCAGATCCCTTATACACGCAAGAATGTCATTCCAAAGCATCGGACCAGCAACAGCCAAAGCAGCTCTATAGGTGTCCGTACGATAATTCGGAACGACCAGTACCTGGCGCGCTAGCACTTGACGAAGAGGTCTGTCCGAGATATAGGTGGAGAACAGCTCAGCGAGATAGGACGGAGAACCAGTGTTCTGCACCAGGTACATAGTGCTGGCAATGGCGGCAGTCCTATACCCAGACACAGTAAGCCAGCCCAAACTACGCCGGGCAGCCGAAATCGGAGCATCACGCGGCAACCCAAAGACGAACCTCGTCGCACGGTTGATGAAGCGCTGCAGTTTCAGATCAAGAACCGTACCCACACCTTGAAGGACTGCAAGGCAGTAAAGGATGTGAGGGAAAATCAGAGCATTCACCAGCAGTTTACGTAGCGGAACATCGGTGTATTTTCGAAGACTGTAGAGTTGGTAAAATGCAAAGTTGATCTTAGAAGCTACGTGCTGGACGTGAGCATTAAAAGTCAACTTGCTATCGATGAAGACACCCAAGTTCCTCACACAGCTGACGATCTCAATGGCAGCACCAGCCGAACCAAGATGTGGCAACGAAGAGACATCAATGGCATTGACAAAACGCCTAGCGCCTAAGATGATAGCCTTCGTCTTACTCACGTTCAGCTGGAGACAGTTGGTAGTAGCCCAGGCCTGGATTCGAGAGATGTCCACGTTGAGACGTTCGATACAGCTATGCAGATCAGGAGGCTCATACTCAAGGTATATTTGGAGATCATCAGCGTAAAGGAGATGCCGCGACTCCCGAAGGCAGGCACCAATGTCATTAATGAAGAGGGAGAAAAGCAGAGGGCCAAGGATGGATCCTTGAGGTACCCCTGCATTGGTCCTCAGAAACGGAGACAGTCCATCAGTGCCTTTGACCGCCTGGGAGCGCCCAGTGAGATACGATCGTACCCACTTCACCGCGCTCATCGACAGGCCTAGGGCAGCCAGCTTACTCAAGAGAAGAGGATGGGAAACAGTATCGAAGGCCTTAGAGAAGTCGAACAGTACCAGGACAGTGATTCTGCGATCATCAACATTACGCCGCACGTTATTGATGAGTCGGAGACGGGCCGTCTGCGTGCTATGTCCAGATCTGAAGCCACACTGCCAGGGGTCGAGCAAGTTGCACCTATGCAGATACCAGGTGAGCTATTTAGAGGCCAAACGCTCCAGAACTTTAGCAAGGAAAGGGAGGAGCGCAATAGGCCGGTAGTCAGACGGCGACTTAGGCGAGCTCACCTTGCACACAGGGACAATGAGAGCCTGCTTCCAGATGTCAGGGAAGATACCGTCAACAAAAGACTTGTTCACGAGCATCAGAAGAGTGTTCACCAAGGCAGGAAGAGTGCTGAGAACCATCTTCTTCGAGATCCCATCAGTTCCGACAGCATTCGAGTTGATCGAAGAAATTGCAGCCTCGATTTCACACCAGCTCACCTGCGAGAAATAAAACAGCTCAGATGTAGGCAGCGAGTGAGAACGGTCATCAAGTACTTGGTGAGATTGGCAGGCAGGAGCAACGGTGGAGACAGCAGCAAAATGATCATTGAGGACCTCGGAAGGCACAACAGAGCTCGAACTGGAACCAGTGGTCAGCGCAAGATTACGTAGTTCTCTCCACAGAGCAGCACCAGTCAGTCCTGACAGACGAGAGTGGTAATACTTGACTCGGGCCTCTAAGAGCTTTGATTGATGGAGACTTCTAGCCAAGCGGCATTCCAGGAGCCGTTCTTGAGTACGCCTTCTCCTAAACCGTCTGTACAGATATTGTACATGTCGATCAGACAGCCGCAATTCATCTGTCAGCTACGGGGCAGACACAGAGGAGTTCACCACCAACTTACGTAGCGGAGCATGCTCATCCAGTTGCGCCAAAAAAGCATGGGTGAACTTTTCAGCTAAGTTATTTGCATCAGGTTCACCATCAGAACAGCACCGAAGAGATCTCTCGAAACTCTCGACGACATCAGTTCGTTGTAGTCGACTTAGCTGACGAGTCAGGATGGTCGAGGGACGAGGCCTGCATGCACCAATCGATAGAGAGGCGGAGATCAGGTGATGACCCGCAGCCATCGGATACTCAGAGGTGAACCAACCAGTCACAGAATCACACTCATCAATGAGGCAGAGGTCAAGCCAGGTAGAAGAAGTGAGAGTAGTGTGAGTAACCCCGTGATTCACCAGTTTCAGCGAGAGATCACTCATCAATGAGCGCACGTACAGCGTATCAGCACTATCTGATAACTCATCTGCGTTGAAATCCCCCATGATCACCTTGTGATTGTAGCCGTCCACGGCATTCGACAAAAGTTCCGTGAAGTTAGAAGGCACGTGAAAGGGAGCATGAGGAGGTCTGTAGATGGCAGCAACGAAGATAGGTGACGAACCAGGCAGGTGAACATCGCAAAAAACATACTCAGTATGTCCAGGTTGCCCTGACCAGACAGTAACGGAAGCAGAGATGATCGACGCGGTCACTGAGTCACGGTGATAGATGGCGACACCACCACCATGCTCGTTACGGTCTCGTCTGAGGAGGATGTAGCCCNAACGGAAGCAGAGATGATCGAAGCGGTCACTGAGTCATGGTGATAGATGGCGACACCACCACCATGCTCGTTACGGTCTCGTCTGAGGAGGATGTAGCCTGGAATATTGAGAATTGAGCTAGGAATCGATGCTGACAGCCAGGATTCAGTGACCACGATGACATGGTAGATGAGAGGACTCGAGGTGAGAAAGCATTTGAAGGTATCTAGACGGCGTCGTAGTAAGTTGACATTCAGACAGCAGCCATGGAATTCACTGGAAGCTCGTGGTGAAGAGGTATGGGTTAAGTTATGAGGATTCGAGTTGTAGGCTAATTGAAGAGGAGTGCTAGAAGCTGGGGGGGGACAAGCAATCAGGATTGAGTAGCGTGGAGACTGGCGATTCTGTCAATGTCAGCCTGGGAGTTGATGGTGTACAGGAGGGGAGAGACGATTTTCTAATTGGCGGGCGAATTATCGGGAGTCATTGCGCCGAGAAACCATTAGCTTTTTCACAGCACCGCGACTTTCGTCGCAGTTTTTATTTTTTGATTACAGAGATTAAGGGATGAACCGGGGGTTGCTGTATGGAAAATTTAATTCTCAATCGAACAGCGTTGGTTTCATTCCTTAATATTAATTAGGAGGGGAGAGACGATTTTTTAATTAGCGGGCGAGTTATCCATTAAGTTTTTCATAGCGTCGTAAATTGCGTCGCAGTTTTTAATTTTCTATTACAAAGATTTCGGGATGAAACGGGGTCTGCTGTATGGGGAATTTAATTCTCCATCGAACAGCATTGGTTTCATTCCTTAATGTTAATTAGGAGGGGAGAGACGATTTTTTAATTGGCGGGCGAGTTATCCATTAAGTTTTTCATAGCGCCGTAAATTGCGTCGCAGTTTTTATTTTTTTATTACAGAGATTAAGGGATCAAACGGGGTTGCTGGATGGGGAATTCAATTCTCCATCGAACAGCGTTGGTTTCATTCCTTAATATTAATTAGGAGGGGAGAGACGATTTTTTGATTAGCGGGCGAGTTATCCATCAAGTTTTTCATAGCGCCGTAAATTGCGTCGCTATTTTATTTTTTTATTACAGAGATTAAGGGATGAAACGGGGGTTGCTGTATGGGGAATTTAATTCTCCATCGAACAGCATTGGTTTCATTCCTTAATGTTAATTAGGAGGGGAGAGACGATTTTTTAATTGGCGGGCGAATTATCCATTAAGTTTTTCATAGCGCCGTAAATTGCGTCGCAGTTTTTATTTTTTTATTACAGAGATTAAGGGATGAAACGGGGGTTGATGGATGGAGAATTTAATTCTCCATCGAACAGCATTGGTTTCATTCCTTAATGTTAATTAGGAGGGGAGAGACGATTTTTTAATTAGCGGGCGAATTATTGGGGAAGCGCTCTGCGCCGAGAAACCATTGAGTTTTTCATAGCGCCGCGACTTTCGTCGCAATTTTAATTTTCTTATTACAGAGATTAAGGAATGAAACGGGGGTTGAAGGATGGGGAATTTAATTCTCCATCGAACAGCATTGGTTTCATTCCTTATTGTTAATTAGGAGGGGAGAGACGATTTTTTAATTAGCGGGCGAGTTATCCATTAAGTTTTTCATAGCGTCGTAAATTGCGTCGCAGTTTTTAATTTTCTATTACAAAGATTTCGGGATGAAACGGGGTCTGCTGTATGGGGAATTTAATTCTCCATCGAACAGCATTGGTTTCATTCCTTA